ATGCCGCAGCAGGCACCGGCTGTGGCAGAGCAGCCCCTCCAGCAACCCCCAGCATCCGGGCTCCCGCAGCAAGAGCAACAGACTGAAAGTGCTTTGCCACAGCTGCCGCTTCTCAGCCCGCCTCATGCCGAATGTGCCAGCAGCAGAAGGCACAGCTCGGAGGATTCAGATCTCACTGGGCTCATAGAAACGATGGAAAAAGACTTTGACCACCCAGAATCCCCTTCCCCAGATGTGTTTACAGAGCAGCCCCCATCTCCGCTAGCAAAAAACAAAGGTAACACGATTCTGCTTTTTTTTAACAGGATGATTCATTATGTAAGCCACAGAACAAGACTTAAGATTAAGTATAAAGGTCATGTTTTCATAGTGTGGAAAGCAATAGCTTCTCAGCTGTTCCCTACCCTGCTGTATGTGCCTGTGTCTTGACCACTTCCTCTACTCTTTGTATGGCAGTGAAGTTCTCTGTGTGATGCTAGATTGTGACTCTTTCTGCAAAATTTTTGGAACATTTTGATGAAAGCAAGGGTGAATATTTAGACATCTTACCCTCGGAAGAAGAAAGATGCTGTTGGTTGCTACTCCTTTGCCTTTGGCTTAGCATCCATCCCTTCCGCCTCCATCATTTGTACATGGGGCTGGGGGCTGAGGAAAGAAAAAGGAAGCTGTTTGAGTGTATTACAACAACTGAGATGGGAAGAAAGGGAGTGGGGGAAGAAAGAGGTATCTGTAAACCCCTGCGGTACTGTTTGAGAATGGAATTCTTTATGCTCAGGCTTGCAGTTGTTGTAGAAAATCCTTGATGTCAGGTGGTCAGAAAATTAATATATGGCACCTGTGTTTATCAGTTGCATTCATCTTTGCATGAGGTTAGAACTGCATTTGAATTGTTTATGCATCTTTTTGATTGTCTAATGCTTAAAATAACATATTGGGTTTCGTACACTAGATACATTCAGACTTTTAAAATTTTATGTCAGTTATTTTCCTTCTCATAAATACTTTGTTAGAGTAGAACTTCTTACCATGCTTTTCATATTAGCCATTTCAGTTCTGTCCCAGAGTTACGTGGTTATAAAATTAATCTTAATGTGTTTATTTCTAAGCAATTTTTTACTTTTTTCCCCTCACACCACCGTTGTACAGAAAAAGTACTGATACTGGGTTGCTTGTTAGAGATAAAGTTAGAAAGATGAGTGGTGGAAAGGCATATAAACCCTGAAGCGTCTGGATGATCACGCACCACCAAAGAGGAAGGCTTCACTCTGTTAAGTACTAGTGAGCAGAAAGTTCCTGAATAGTTCTGAATGGATGTGATGATGCATCTGGGCCTTCAAAGTGGAGACTCAGAAGTGATAAGAGGTTTTGGG